AGCCACGACGGCGGCGACAGAACCACCACCATCGTTGAACTGCTCTTCTCCACCAACCTCATTCACCTACTTTTCTTCCCCTGCCGCACCGAAATCGTCGCGTCGCGTCGCGAAATTCTGTCGCCTTCTATCTTCTTCTTCTTCGTCTCTTTCGAAAACAAGAAGAGACATCTTTCTCTCTTTCTGAAAGAAAAAAAAAAAAAAAACTACGCATTCGTTTTGCTCAACGCAAAGGGTTTCAACGCACCTTTCCCCGATCGCCGGTTTTTTGATCGGAAGGAGAAGCGAAGACGCGATGGAAAGGATGACGATGTGCGTCATTCAGTGTGTGCCACAATTTTTGGACGTTTCGCCTACCTATCGAGCGGAAGGGGGATGGAGCGAGAGAGTTGGAAAGAAAAGGATGGGGCGGGTGGCCGGCCAGGCAACCGGGGGTTTCAGGTCGATGCACCCCTTCGCTCGCTTGCCAACGAGGGTTCGACGCCCTGCGCCGTCCCCTGACGTCATTCCAGCGCCCTGACCCCGCTCCCCTTGCGCCTTCTCTTTCGCCGCCACCGACCAAATCCCCAAACTAAATCGCTAGACTAAGTTTTCGTCCTTCGAAAACTGGATCCATCCACCACGCGTTTCCCTCCGATTATTTTTTTCAGGTCGCGGATTCTGCCTCGTGTGACTTTTCTTTTTTTTCCTTTTTTTTTTTTTTGTAATCAGTTCCTCGTCGTCGTTGCTTCCGTTTCGCAATAAAATACATTTCGCGTATCATCTTTACTTAGATTTCCACTTTTCGAGCAATCCAGTTTTTCCTTTTTTCCCCTTTTTTCGATATCGAAATATTTTTGAATCAAAAGAGATATTCCTCGATGGAATATACGCGAATAAAATAAATAAAGCAGAAAGCTTCGTTATCGCGACGTTTCGATTGCCATCTCAAATCGATTTACGTTTATTGTTATCGCGTCAATTTCCTCTCGGAGTCATCCTCCTTCTCGATATTCCATATTTCCATCGCACGGTTAAAAATATATATATATATATATTTCGACGAGAATAGCACGTGTTTACCGAAAATTGCATTTCCGAAGCAACGATCTCGAGGGGCCCCTTCGTCAACCGGAATTATTCGAGGGAACGCGTCGCGATATACGTGTGTGTTATCGGCCGAATTTTCAATCGATGTCGCGAATTAATATTCTCGGTGGCGCAGTCGATAACCTGTCCCTGACGTAACGCCCACGCACGGCGCGGTGGTGGGAATGGACGCGGGGATGGTTGGCCGGGAAGAGGGGGATGGTGATCGCAGCAGCGAGGGCGCCAGGGGGCGGTCAACGAAACTGGGTCACTGGAGCTTCATTCACATTACGCGGCCATTCATGAGATTTGCCAACCGTTCGGCTTTCATGCTCTCCTCTCACGCATTTCTTCGTCTTTTTCGAAAACCTTCTTTTTNNNTTTTTTTTTTTTTTTTTTTTTTTCCTCCCCTCTTCATCTTGTTCCAACTTGGAGGAAGACCGTTTCTCCCGATTCATGCCCATCTTCCTCGTCAACCACCTGCTCGATTTCCCTCCTATTTCCCTTTTTTAAGGTTAAAACGAAATCACGAGATGAGGATTCTTTCTTCCATCTCTTTATCCGTTATCGATGAGCAGCATCCGTTCAAATTTCCACCGTGAAATCGAGTTTTTCCACGTCTATTTTATTTTAGAAAATTGTATCGCTCCCTGTGCTAATTATTCGCGCATGATTACATCGATCAGTTTTCAACTGGGATAATGAAGGTAGAAAATAATTGTAGAAAAATTCTAGATAAAGATTAATCTTGTCATATCGTTCGTTGTATGATCGATAAGAAAAGGGTACTATATCGGCGTGGAAAGCGTGAATAGGTTGAAGCTCGGCCATCCCTCAATAAACTTTGGGAAAGCGTCTTGAAGCGGTCCGGCTGGGTCCGTCCGACCTACTTTCGCCCGGGCAATGACGTTGGGTATGACGTCACGGGAGCGGAAACTGGGTCGCGAGGTCGAAGGCATCTCGTCGTCGGTTTCCCATGGATACTTGCCCCCTTGCTCGATGCCTCGATTCATTGAAAAAAAGGAGTGGGATATAATATCGTTATCCCCATCGAGCGCGGCCATTGTTACCCACTTTTGCGCTTTTATTCATTATTGCGCCCCGCCATTTCTTCCCTCCTCGATCCCTTACCCGGTTTCATACCGGTTCGAGATTGAGATTAATTTTCCATTCCTCTCGATCTTCGATTTTTCGAAACTGAAACGAAATTCTCCATCATCGACAAGTGCTGTCTCTTATGGATATATCGATTATATTTTCACGTTAACGCAGATTTTTGTCAAGAATACGATCCTGCTTGGACCACGACCTCGTTCGACTTATAGATCTGTATCCGTATCGACGTCCTCTCGTCAAAATTTATCGGTTAACCGCATTGCGGCCGGGTTGCCAATCGAAAGGGGCTCGAAATTTTCTTCCCTGGATCCCTTTACATAGTTCTGACCGTTGACGGAAATAAAAGTTTCGCGCGGCATTGTTCGAAACTCGATTAATAATCGATTAATTGATTGCGCCAATACTCGAATTACGACGTTTCCTCTCGTGGATCTAAATCTTAGCGGTATTTCTTTCTAGAAATCAATGCAAAGAATAATACCGAACCGATGTCGAAGCAATATTGGCATCGTTTTGATTTAAAAAAAAAAAAAAAAAAGGAAAGAAAAAAAAAAAGAAAGAAAGAAAGTGTTGGAAATCCTCTTACCACTCGCCGACACGATAGATAGGTATCGCGATTCCGCGGTAAATAGAAAAACAGGAAGGAAGAGAGGAGAATGGCAGGATATAGGGAGGAAAAGGGTGAGTTGAGACTGGATGGATTGGATGGAGGGGAGGGAGGGGGAGAACGGAGAGACGGGGTCGGTGGTTCAGCGGGCGACACTGGTTAGGGGAAGGAAGGAGGAAGAGGCGATAAAAGCGGCGCGGTGGTTGGGGGAGGGGGTAGGTCGGTGATGGCTATTTTTGGAATGTGGGTCACCCATAAACCCCGGCTTGTCCCGTGACGTCACAGGATCGTCGTCGTGGCAACAGGGACGCCGGGTTAATCACCCTTGGTTCAGAACTACCTTCACCATTCCACCCCCTCCCTCCTCCCTCGCGATCCCCACCACCTCTCTCCCCAAGTTTACCTGTACCGCTTCGATTGGATGGAATATGCATCCACGTATTAATTAACTTGTACTTTATGGACGAAGAAATTATTGAGGAATTATTGGAAAAGATAGTTGCGATAGTTTATCTATTCCGTTCGTTTTTCAATGTATTTTTTTTTCTTTTCTTTTTTATTTATTTTAACGTCTTATTGAAGCTGGATTGTTGTTGAATTAAATGTGCAGCTATTTTTGCTAGAAGAAAATACATCTTTCTTTTTTGAATGGAAGGATTGATGTTTGTATCGTAAGAGAAGAAATAATACACGCATTAATATATAAAATGTTCATGTATTTCGTATTGATTATATACTTAAAAAAAATTGTAAACTAATGTTAAGATTGTTAAGATTAATTGCGATCGAAAGGAAATTCTTAAAATTTTGAACAAGTAACTAAATATGTAATCTTTCTAATTAAAGATCAGTTTTCAAAGAGTATACATTCAGATGGAAATCCACTATGGTAAAAATATGTAGCAAGAATAACTTATTAAATTTTGAATATATCGGTTAACACAAATGAGCTTTAATAATCAATATAGAATATTTTAATTCAAATAATTACATTCAAATATTGATACTATAATTTTAATAACAAAAAAAAAATCTTCTCTCTTCTTTAAGGTCGGTATTTCAACCCATTTTCCATAAGATGTTAAAACCTTGCTGTACTTGTTCTACGCCTGTTGCAGAGTTCTACGTTATCAACATTGCCCTCTCGTCCGACTAAGCGTCGATACGTACTACCTGTCTGTAGAAACAGGACCATTCTACTTAACCCACCGTTTCCTACTTTAGCCGTATAGTTCTGAACATCAATGAAAATCCTATAAATAGCTTCGATGGTATATTCAGAAAATGTACAATATCTGGTTTTTCCAAACATTTTATATAATATATCTTCATTCGAATATTCTTTTAATTTTACTTAAATTTGAAAACTCGCAAAATTGGACGGATATTTCCGTTTAAATTTCAAGCGATGCAATTCAACGCTTCGAAATAGAATTTTGAAAATACAAAGTTTAGAAATAGCCTCGCTGGAAATAATTAAATCATCTTTACGGGTATCACGAGACCTATTAAAAGTCAGGGAAGATATAATATCAGGTAGAATCATAAGCGTTACGTTTAAACGACGATGTTTCCGTCAGCGTTGCCGCGTTTAGTGCCAAACAGCTGGCACACCCAAAATCCAGAACGGCCCGTTAATAATATCTTCGCCGTGTTTTCGAGATACGATCGTACATTGTTGCTCCACCTTAGATTAAATTTTTCACTTTCGACCAATTATCCGAATCTTTCATTAATCAATTCTTTCACGCGAAAAAATCCTTCTTATCCTTCGAAAAGCAACAAAGCAACGCTCCAGCATTTCTTCGTTCTCGTAAATCTCTAAAAAACGCTTTTCGAAAATTCGAGAATTCTATCGTTTCGACGTGTCTAATCGTTTCTTAAGTAATAAGAAACGATTGTTTATTTAATTGGCGACGATTCGTCTGCTCTGATCGATCTTTGTCGGAAGCGCGAAATGAGGAAATGAGGAAAACCCGTCTTCTTCTTCTTCTTCTTCCCGACACGCATAACATACTTAATCAAGAATGTGGAGGAAGAAAAGCGCGAGGTTCGGTTCGCGGGTTGCCGAGCGAGCGACGAAGCGGGCCCGGCTTCAGTTTCCGATTATTTTTGGCAGCAAGCGGAGCGGGCATAGCTCTCGCCTAAAAATGCTTGCGACCAATGGCGAGCCGTCATTGGTCGGCCACTACCACGTGAACAGGCCACGATGGAGGCTCACGACGTCGGCTAGGGATCCACGATCGCACAGTCAGCTGCTTAAGGTCCGGTTGGCCAGTCGCAGCCAGCGAATAGTTCTTCTCAAGGTAAGCCCACAATCCTCGAGCGGGAAAAAACTCTGGAGGACGCGTCCGCATAATCCTCCGATAGATCGATCCCCTTCAGGATTTCTCTGCCTGGGCGCCGACCCTAAGGATCTCCTCTCTCTTCGAAAGAACCACCTCTTTTTCTCCGCCGTATCCTCGAGTGTCAGTGCTGCAGAGGTGTTCAACCGCGAGACGAGACGCTTTTCAAGGTCACGAGTGTGCCTCCAAAAACTGTGACGTTTTTCTTCTTCTTCTTCTTCTTCTTCTTCTTCTTTTTCACTCGCGTGTGAATCGCCATCTCTTCCAATCTTTTCTTCTCGCGGGGAGAGGCGAACTCTTTTCTCCTCTCAAATGTTCGATCCACGTAATTTCGAACATTTTCACCGATAATGCGAAACCCGTAATCTTCCGCTTCCATTTCTATAAAACTCGCGTTTCAATCTTTCCTCTCTTCTTTTATTCGAGAGAGGGACGAAGATCGCTCATCGTGAACTCAAACCGATCTACGTAAACAGCCTTGCACTAGTATTCCGCCACGATTACTCGATATCTTCTTGACCGATATAACGCTCTCTATTTGCTCTCGCAATTTATCATTCCGACAAACAGAGTCGAATCTTTCGAGCTTTATATATACCATTCGTCGCTCGCCGCTCGTTTCTTTTCTTCGATTCTCAGGAATCGCGAAAAAAAACAGCGATAACGGTGTTTCGTGCTTCGACCGGTGCTCCACTTTTTTTCTCCGAGAAGAAAAAGGAAAGAAATACGTATTATTATTATTACTATTATTATTGTTATTATTATTATTATTGTTATTATTATTATTATTATTATTATTATTATTATTATTATTCTCTAGAGAGAGAGGATCTCGCACGAGCTATATATACATTTTTTTTTTCCGCGTGTTTTCTATTTTTACGGATCCTCTTTGACATCGGAGACGAGGCATACTCGATCGCGGCAACTCTGGGACGTGTCTTGGAATGGCTCGAACGAAAGGGGGGAATCTATACTTAGCGAGAGCGATCGTCCATTACAAATTTAAAGCGGTTTGCCGGTGATCGAATGAAATTTCCTTGGACAGGAGATCTCGAGGCGAATTCTCGTTTTTTTATTTCAACAGATTTTGGCTGTTGATTGAAAGAAATAATTTGAATTATCGAAGGTCGAAGGCGATTTCGTTAAAATTATTAGTAAAATTTATCGCTAACTAATGGAAGGATAAATCCTCGTTCGATTAAGGCGACAATCGACGTTTCTCTTTTTTTCCCCCTCACCCTTCGGAAATGGAAATTTTGAGTATATTGAAATCGAACAGATCGAATTATTAGAAAATTGGCGAATTTATTTCTTTATATCTATTTTCAAACGTTTATCTCTGATTTATTAGCGTCGTTGTTTGCCAAGAAAGCGAATTACTTTCCCATTAATCACCGACGACTTCCTTCATTACTTTTTTTACTCGAGTCGTATCACTCGAATTAGGCAAAAAGGCAATTTATTCTTTCTTGATGTTTAAATATCAATCTCAATCTCGCGTCGTATAAACTTCTCTTCTCTATTTCCAAGAAGAAGAAGAAGAAGAAGAAGAAGAAGAAAATACATCGCAACGATTTCCATATCGTGGAAATAACGTATTTCCACGTTATCGAAATCCTTCCTTCCCTCGACTTTCCCTTCACCGTTCGATCTGTTTTTCGCCATCGAATCGAGCAGCGTCGAGGAATACGAGAAAGAGAGAGAGAGAGAGAGAGATCTAGCGGGTCGTTGCATCCAAATTTGGATCGTCGACGTAGCGACGTCTCGGCGACGGATCGAAAAGTGGGGACGGGCCGCGTCTATTTTCGAGCACCGGATATTCTATACCTTCGCTCTCTCTCTCTCTCTCTCCTGCATCGAAAGAGAGAGAGAGAGAGAGAGCGAAGAGAACGTAAAATTTACGTTCAGAAGGTAGGATTTATCGCGTCGATTTACAGATTCGATAACAGTCCAACGAAAAAGAAAAAAAAAAAAAATTCCCCTCAACGACGTAAATCGAAAATCAACCTTCCCCCACTCTCCCTCCCCCTCTCATCCTCCTTTTTCCCCCGCGGTTTATATTTAACGCGTTGCAATGTTTGCGTTTGTTCGCCCCGTATGCATAATCCGTGTCACCGTGAAACGATCGTATTTTAATACGATCGCGTATCCTCTGACGCAATGCGAACGAATATTAGTTATTTTGCCACGGATACGTGAAACATCCCCCTCTGCGCTTTATTTTTAGGTAGACGGGTGTAGCAGCCAGGTACCACGATGGCGGACGACGAGGTTAGGTGGGTATTCGTAGGAAAAATTTTCCCTCCGAGGGAAATCGTTTCCTCTACGCAGGATGCTGCGCTGCGCGAGATGGTTTTTTCTTTTCTTTTCTTTTTATTTTTTTTTTTTTTTTTCTTTTCTTCTCATCGGGGAAAACGTGCAAATTAATCTTGACCGATTATTTTTCTCCTCATTTTCATGCGCCTCTCATCATCACGGTCGTCCTCGTCGATCTCCACGGCTTTCCACGAAAAATGGATCCGATGGGTCCTCCCGTCGTTTTTTTTCACCTCGGATCACCTGCAGTAAACAGTTAACGTCGTTGAAAGGTACGCATCGCTCGTGCGCTTTTTGCTTGTGAAATTGCCGTGAAATGAATCGTCGTCGTTTTCGTCGTTGACCGTTTAAATGATGATTAATTGATAGGAAAGCGATATTGATCTATTAATCTAATTTTTCGAAACCACACCTCAGTCTGAACGTGAACGTGTCGACTTTTTTTTCACCTTGGAATTTTTTTTTTTTTAACATAATATTTTATAATCCTGTATTTTGTCACGTAGATTTTAGTGTTCTTTTTTGTATGACGATTAACAAAAGGCTCTCGATAACGAGGCAGCCTTTGGATTGGACTTCAAACCGACCGAGTCCTATATATTTTTCTTTTCAACCAAACTTAATATAAACTGTGCATTGATACATTCTTCTATTGCGTCCCACGGATAGAATAGATACAACACGAGGAGAATTTTATTCCTCGCAATTCTTTCTTCCCTTTTTGCGAAACGTTCCATTTTTTTTTTCTTTTTTTTTTTCCTTCCTTCGCGAGAGACCGAATTTTTCCTCGATCGATTTAACGCGATTTTTCGAGGATGGAAAGAATCGAATCTTCTCTCGGACAATTTTACTCCCCTCGAAAAATCGAGAAGAGAAATTATTCGAAACTCTTCTCTCGATGGATAATAACGCAAGAGTTATTCCAAAAAATTTGCAAAAGTACGCGCCCCTTGAACGCCAACCTCGTCCAACCTCGAGGAATAAAAGATAAATACGGAAATATTACGGGAGACCTCGGTCCCGAAAGACTTTTCCCTCTCTGATTTATCGCCCCTATTTCAACATTATTTACCACCGCGAGTCGCGCCACCCCCGCCATACACCTTATTTGTTCCACCATCTTCCCTCCTATTTCACGCTTCCCCCGTAACTTTTCCTCCCCTGTAAGCAACACATCTTCCCGACCGGTGGTGATTGTAAGAATTCACCATAACTCGTATTTCTCAACTTTTCCTCCATCCCCCCTCGATTTTGCGTTCGAATTGGCACGGAAGGTGTCACCCCCCTTCAAGATAAGAAAATACCGTCAGACTTTTCGACAACTCGTAAATCTTGGCTGGGGATTCGTTCGTAAATGTAAATCAAAGTGATACAATTCGTGAGGGAGGGGAGAAAAGGGGGTGTCGTTTTCCCGTTGCCGTTCGAATATTCGTGTAGCTTTCTCAAGATATACGAAGAATTGTCCGAAACGTTTTGTCATTATTTCTCCTGTAATCGAGGAATTAGATAATAGAACGTATTACGTAGATTGACTAGAAAAACGAGCTGCCACGTAGTAACTCGGAAAGAGGTAACGTAGATTTACTACAATGTTGCCGGGGAGAATATTCTCCCGCGACAATATTAATATCCTTGTGTGCCAACAGCATGTATACTTACTGCCTGTTTTTATATGTGTATTATTAAATATTGTGTCATCGATGTTACTCGACGATATTTACAAACGCGAAACTCGAACAAATTGTCGCGTGACACTCGATGCCAAAATATTCTACGAACCAAAAATACGAGATTTATCGAGATTCTTCTATTGCACACTTGCCTATTTTTGCATACTTTTTACACTAACACTGTTTCTACACTGTTGCAAAGAATATTATATCGAGATCTTATTGCACAGTTTTCACTCTTATGAATCGGCACATTAGCAGTTTCTTGTATTGTTGCAAAGGATATTATCGAGATTTTATTGCATATTTACACATTTTTTACAGCAGCACTTTCGATACCGTTGCAAAGAATATTATTCTTATTGCACATTCTTATGAATCATCGATTAATATATTTTCGTATACTTGTATATTGTTGCAAAAAATATTGAGATCTTATTGCACACTTTTCATATTTGCACATTTTTTACACTTTTCGATACTGTTGTAGTATTGCAAACTTTCCATATTTATGGATCACGATTAACATATTTTTCTACACTTTCTATATTCTCGTAAACAATATTATTGAGATCTTATTACATTTTTCACTCGCTTATTTTTGCACACTTTTTACACTAACACTTTCTGTTGCAAAGAATATTATCGATATCTTTATAGTACACTTTCTATACTTGCGAATCACGATTATTTTTACACGCTATATTGCTGCAAAGAATATTATATAGATCTTATTGCACACTTTCCACACTTATGAATCACGATTAATTATTTTTGCACACTTTTTACATTAGCAGTTTCTGTATTGTAGCAAAGAATATTTATATCGAGATTTTATTACATACTTTCCATATTTATGAGTCACGATTAACATATTTTTGTACACTTTCTATATTGTCGCAAATAATATTATTGAGATCTTATTTATCTTACACTTTTCATATTCGCCTATTTTTGCACACTTTTTACACTAACACTTTCTGTTGCAAAGAATATTATCGATATCTTTATTGCACACTTTCTATACTTGCGAATCACGATTATTTTTGCACACTATATTGTTGCAAAGAATATTATCGAGATTTTATCGCATACTTTCCATATTTATGGATCACGATTAACATATTTTTGTACACTTTCTATATTGTCGCAAAGAATATTATTGAGATCTTATTACACTTTTCACTCGCCTATTTTTGCACACTTTTTACACTAACACTTTCTGTTGCAAAGAATATTATCGATATCTTTATTGCACACTTTCTATACTTGCGAATCACGATTAACATATTTTCGCACACTTTTTACATTTCGAGCATTTCGTACACTATTGCAAAGAATACACGCTTCTTTTCGAGCGCTTGGCACAATTTCGAAAAGCGGAATTCGAAACGTTCTGCCGTTAAAAAATTTCACTCATCGATTCCTTATATCTTTATCCATCGATCCACCAACGTTTCGTATTCCGCTGATATCGATGGGAAAGATTTTTCTAACGATCGTTTTTTATTTTTTTCCTTTACAGAGAAAACGTCTCGAGGATGTACGTAAGAGAAGGGGGGCGAACTATCGATGAAACTTGAAGTAGGGCAGAAAAGGACAGCCCTGGTCGCTGGAACTTTTTCAATAACTTGTCGAGTCTCGCTAATCTCGAATGACTTTTGCGACAGTTTTTCGTATCAAGGGCCCGTTTCGAGTCGCGTTTCGAAAGTTTTTCCGAGATTATTTCTTTTCCCTTCCACCCTTCGAATCGGTGACGACGATCGAAATTTTTTTAATTATCTTGCCTACTTTTTCTTTTTTCTTTTTTTTTTTCATTCTTTTTATCCGTTTCTCTATTCTCTTTTTTACTTTAATCGCAAAAAGCGAGGATAAGGATATTAAATACGCTTCACTTGCTAGGGAATGAGATTTTGTCGAGTTTGCTTACGGATATCTGTTATCAGATAAGATATTTTAAGGGAGTTTCGCTTACGGAAAATGTAGGAAAAGAAGAGGAAACAGGCGGAGACGGACAGAAAGAGGGCGGAGGTCCGCGCCCGTCTCGAAGAGGCTTCCAAAGCCAAGAAGGCGAAGAAGGGTTTCATGACCCCTGACAGGAAGAAGAAGCTTAGGGTAAGTTTGCATTCCGTCCATCCCCCTAATTTTCTTAATATTATTACGATTCGTGTCCAAACGAGCTATTTCCATATTCTTTTTCTTTTTCTTTTCTTTTTTTTCTTTTTACAAGAATAATCTATTCTACGAAACCTTTCTTTCTCAAACCGGTTCCCTCGAAATTATTTGTTCCATTCAATTCCGTGAGATTTGACGTTCTAACGTATATTCGCGTGTATTCCCTCAGTTGTTGCTGCGCAAGAAAGCCGCCGAGGAGTTGAAGAAGGAACAAGAGAGAAAGGCGGCCGAGAGGAGGCGCATCATCGAGGAGCGTTGCGGAAAGCCGAAGAACGTCGACGACGCTAGCGAAGGTACATTAAAGCCTTTCCCTTGAAAAAAATTTCTCCTCGATAACACGTCGATAACCGCGGTTTTTTTCTCGGTTCATCGGTGCCGTGATCAGACAGACGTGTTAACAATTGAACGGGTCAGGGTCGAACAACACCCGAGCCCAAGGTCTGCGGAAATATATATATTTTTTTTTTTCTTTTTTTCTCTTTTCCGACAAATATACCGATAGAAGCGAGAGAAGCAATCCATATACGCGATATATACAGCGAACAGTTGTCGTAATTTTTTTTTTTTTTTCGCTTCCACACTTTTTCCCATATTGTTCCACGTTCTCTCGAGACGACCATCTCTTTCGTTTTTTTCCCCCCGAGCAGAGGAAACAACAAATTTTTCTTTTTTCGAAACTCGTCGATTCGTCGACATGCGAAGATAGAACATTCCCCTCCGAGGATCCCCTTCCCTCCTCCGATCGCGACCATCGCTGCGATCGTGAATTTGCAATAACAAATAAACTTCGAAACTGCAACTGTCGTTTCGATCTAATTCGTTTTCGATCGCGATTTTTCGATCGTTTGAAAAAAACAAAAAAAAGAAGAGAAAAACATGATGAATTCTGTCCGATCTTTTTTCACCTTCGTCCCACACAGAATCCCTGAAGCGCGTGCTGCGCGAGTACCACAATAGGATCACAGCATTGGAGGATCAAAAATTCGACCTCGAATATGTTGTTAAGAAGAAGGATTACGAGGTACTTACCCGTGAGGGTGGAAAGGACAATGTTGCGAGAAATTACATTACTATACGTGCAAATAACGATGTGGCATTCACACACACGCATATATATATATATATATATATATATATATATATATATATATATCGTAACGATGCTCAATGTTGTTGCACTTGAGTAATGCGACGCGCTTGCCCGGTTGCATTCAATCGCGATGACGAATCTTGTCTTGGGCACTTGGGTTTGGCATAGAGCTCGAAAAGGGCAACCGATCTTACGCAATCGCGATTATTTATAAATAATCTATTTTTTATTCTTTAACCACCATTTATTTATTTATTTCCCCCTCTTTTTTTTTATATTTTATTTTATTTTCCCCCCCATCCCCTTTTCTTTTTCTAGAGAAACTTGTCGTCTTTGCTCTTGGTTCGATTAAAGTAAATTCGATCACACGCTGGCCGCAATCCGGGCAAGTGTCGCGAGCTTCGCATTTCGTCTATCTTCTATGTTTCTATTTAAATATAATATTTTCTATAATGTTTTATCTACTTTCAACTATGGTTTCCTCTCACTTTCATAACACGGCTATTCTGTCTATCTATTCTGTCTATCTATTCTGTCTATCTATATTTCTTTATTTATTCTCTGTACTTATTCTTTCTCTTCGCACAATTTCTTTTCTGTTTCGCATTTTTATATCTGTGCGCGCGTTCTATTTCACCATTTTGTATCTTTGCTCTTCGTTCTTTTAATGCTATTTCTTTCTTTCTTTTCTTTCTTTTACATGGTAAAGCTAAGAGCATCATCGTGGATCATTCACGTTTATTAACTTTGATTGTGTTCTCACAAGTTGTCGCAAAAAAAAAAAAAAAAAAAAAAANAAAAAAAAAAAAAAAAAACGCTGTATACGTGTACGACGGAGAATAATACCTACTATATAAAGGTAATAATAAGGGTAACTCTCGAGGTTTTGATTTCGAAATTTTTCGAAATTTTTCACACGCCCAGTGTATATTTTAATACGCTCGGCATACTACAACCCCCTCCTCCTCTTTTTTTTTTTCTTTACTTCTTTGCTTTCTATGTATATCGCCATATCGCCTCCGTCCCCTGTTTCTCAATTTTGTCAAATTTTGTGAATCGCGATTTCTAATGTGTCGCGATTACAATTCAGGATTCACGCTCGAATTCAGGATCGAATCTGTTCAAAAATAGAACGATGACACTTCACACTTTTCTTTCATTGACAAATTTCGTTCAGCTTCGATACCACTCGCTCCCCTCTTCTCCCTCTTCCTCTTTGCTTTAAACACACATTATTCTATTCTCTCCCCTCCTCCTCCCCGGTTGATGACAAACCGAGAAAAGTGATGACAACACGAGATTGTGTGTGATTTTATTTTACACGTTCTTTCTTACACACTTTCGTTCGATGTTTCAAGTCGATTAAAAATTTATATCGAGGGGGAAAAAAAAAATATGTGTAGAGCAACAAAAGACACACACACACACATACACACAAACATATCGGTTTTAAAATCGTCCGTATCCTGCTTTGAAAAAGGAGTATGTTTCAAGGTGACTTGGAATTTTGACAGCTAACGTGAAGTCCATTCTGATCCAGTATCATAAGAGGATCATCGCTCTCGAGGGGGAAAAGTACGACCTTGAGTACGAAGTCGCCAAGAAGGATTTCGAGGTCGAAAAGTTTTCGATGCACAAAAAACAAACAAAAAAAAAAAAAAAAAAAAAAACAGACGATGCTGCAATTAACAAAACAGAGAGACAACTTTTTTTTGTTCTCTCTCTCTCTCTCTTTCTTTTTCTCTCTCTCTCTTTCTCTCTCTCTATTCCGTTCTCACTTCTTTTCTATCGTGTTTTTTTTTTTTCTCTTATTTTTCCATCTTATTTTTGTTCTTGAATCTTTTTCTTTTTTTTTTTTTTTTTTTTTTTTCTCATTAGTAACGCAACGACATTTTTTTTTTCTTTTTGCTAGAAGAACTTTTGCAAGAACGCTGTGAACAGTAATATTCTAATTCTTTTCTTTTCTTTTCTTTTCTTTTTTTTTTTTCTTTCTTCAATTGAAATTGAAGTTTCGGCTGTTGTTAATTAATCTTAACGACGTTGATGAAACTTAGGCATCGCTGAAACTGAATCATCTAATCGCACCAATTCTAACGTAGTTATTTCGCAAGATTTCTTTTTTTTTTTTTTTGACTAGTTTAGAACGTCTTCGTAGAGCGTACGTAATAATGATTAGAAAGAGAAGAAAAGCAGGCACGCGTGATATCGTAGAATTCGCAGCCAGTAGATGTGAAGTAATAATATAAGTAACTACGCTGATACCTAGATCCTATCTTGAGCGATTTGAAGTAGAAATTTTATTTTTCGATTATTTCCTTACCTTTTTCTCTCTCTCTCTCTCTCTCTTTCTTTTCGATTTTTGTTTCGTTTATTTGCGCGTAGATCACCTTCCGGCGCCAGTACTATTCCGAATAAAATTTTGTTTCCTCCATCCCTCTCCTCCTAGACTCCCACACTCTCGAGTTAGGTTCACGCAATTGTCAGCTTCGTGCTTCTTGCTTTCAAAACACGAGAATCTCATTCTTTCTTTTCTATTTCCCTTGATTCTCTATCCTCCATCCGCGATGATCAACCCTTCTTAGTATTCCGTAAATGGTAAGATATTTTTTTACGAATCGATTTTACGATTCAACTTAATTAGCAAGAAACGTAAGAAAAAAATCTTCGAGTCATTTTCACTTCTCTCTTTTTTTCGTGGAAAAACAATTTTTTGAATATCAACGATCTGTTTACAACAACAGATTGTTTTAATCGCGTTAATCGATTTGAAGGATGGATCGAAACCATCCTTCCCATTTTTTTCTTACCTACAATTTTTTTCTTTCTCTCTCTCTCTCTTTTTTTTTTTTGCATTTTGCTCTCCATCCTGAAACTTTTGTTCTTTTAGCCGAGCTCCAGACGATCTGTTCGGCATATTGGAACAGAGTATACGCGCTCGAGGGCGATAAGTTTGACCTCGAGAGGCAAATTAGGTTGAAAGAATTCGAGGTAAATACGATCGGCTCGCCTGAAGAAAGCCTAACGAGTCTCCTGCACAGATTATTTTTATCTCTGGCCTCCCACGTGATTCTTTTTTTGATTTAATTTAACTTTGCCACGTCTACGACCGCGCAATGCGATTGGTCGACGTCCTCTACGTATATATACACCTCTCGGTCGACGCACCCTCGAAATTTCACACATTCTCTCTCTCTCTCTCTCTCTCTCTCTCTCTCCTCTATCTCGGAGAGAAATACTTTCAGAATTTTCAATTTATATATACATATATGTATATTCATTTCGAGGCTGCTCGTTACCCTCAAATTTCATCGACAATGGTCGCGAAGATTGAAGTTTCGAGGGAAGCGTTTACAAGGGAGTGTAGCTTCGTATACGTCTCGATGGACAAATGGAGGTCAAATAGGACAGTTTCTATTTGAACAAAAAGGAGAGATTTCAGAGCAGGTCACGTTCGCGTTCGAATCGTAGCAAAAAAAAAAAAAAACGATCGGTCATTCGATTCCTATGCGACTTTTATTGTCCGCACGAGCGGAACGAGAGACTTTTATTTTCTATAAAATTTGCAAGATTGATTAATCTTTGATATGTATATATATATATGTGTGTGTGTGTATACGTGTAAATATATATTTCAGAGGAGAAAATGAAAGATAAAAATCTCTCTTTCCCTCGTCCCGCCTCCTGGCTATTTAGTGAAAGTAACGTATCACGAGTGGAAGATATCTGAGAGACACTCCATGTTCTTTGTAGACGATTTGAGGGAGATTTGCCAAATGTATTACGACCGCGTCTACCTTTGTGAGGGTCAGAAGTGGGATTTGGAGCGTGAAGTTCGGAAAAGGGATTACGAGGTACAGGAGATAAATAAAAGAAAGCAGCAAAAAAAAAAAAAAATAAAAAAAAATAGAAAAAAACGGTGAACAATGCGAGGAGAAAGAGAGCAACCATCAGTCGCACGTTTCTTTTGTGCAACCCCCCCCTCTCTGAATTTCTCTCTTCGCGTTGTCTCTCGTTGTTTCCACCCTCTTTCTGTACATATACGTTTTTTATTTGAGTTTTTTTCTCTCTCTCTCTCTCTCTCTCTATTTCTCTCTCTTTCTCTTTCTCTCTCTCTCTCTCTCTCTCTTTCACGATGTTTCTCTTGGAGAACACGTTGAGTGGCTTTTTCGACAAGTTAAAAATCGAACAATGAAATAAAAGCAAAGAAAAAACTCTCTTTTATCTTTTTTCTTTCTTTTTTTTTTTTTTTTTTTTCTTTTTTGGCAAACGGAGACAAAACGAACGCGAGAACAAATATCATTTTGCCTTTCACTCTTGTAATCTCGTCGGTTTACAACCAATTTTACTCCATACTGTATAATCTTGGTCAGTCCTGTATCGGGGATTTTAACATTTTTATCCTTTTCTCTCTTTTTTCCAAGTTTTTCTTTTCAAATTATCTCATATAGATTCCTATATATATAAAAGAAGAAAAAAAAATAATAATAAAAATTAAAAAGAACAAAACTTTTTTCTTTTTTCGCGAAATGAATATGAAGTGCCTCGATTAAAACATAAATTTTTTTGCCCTTCACTCTTCAATCGCTCTTTTTCTCTCTTTCTCTCTCTCTCTTTCTCTTTCCTTCTTCATCTCTTCTATTTTTTCCATTTTTCTTTCTTCGATGAAACGTCGTCGATTTATTCATCTTCCTTTATCTTTTTCTTCTTCTTCTTCTTTTTTCCGCCTTTCTTTCTCTCTTTTTTTCACTTTCTCCACATTCATCATTTATAGATATATATATATATATATAGAATATATCCGTCCGATTTACACGCTCTTTTCTTTCTATATCTCTATAATTTCTATCTATTATTTTATTTCCATCTCTCTATCTCTTTCTCTCACTCTAACCATATGTAACGCAGACATAGGCTTCCCTATGCTTTTTCTA